ATTTTCAACATATAGAGTAAAAAAAAACAAATGGATGATAGAGGACAAAAAAAATCCTTTCAAGTGGAAGCCTCAAGAGAATACATCCATTTTTTAACCAACTATCCCGATGGATCTGGGCAGAACGCTGCCCTTTGTTTTGTGAAATCCACAGGACTGACGCAGGTCAGAAACAATTCCAGTTGGACAAAAGCCGTTCCGAGGAGGAGAAATTCCCAGCGCTTTCGCCAGCACCCTCCCAAAGTGCGTGAATGAAAGCAGTTAGGTGGCTGTGCCTGAAGGATGGAAGTGCCACCAGGTTTGTGCTTTTAACTCTGCCCAGGTGTATCGTGCCGCAGAGCACGCGCTGTGTGAGGGGGAGGTGTGCTGACTATTGTCCACGACACGTCCATGGCATGCAGAGTGGCTTGAGAGACAAAACCCCTAGAACGTGTGCCACAAAGTCTAGCCACAGCCCCACTCCTTCCCCACGCTGGACCCCGGAGGCAGGGCAGCTCTTGGAGCTGGAAGGTGTCCAGCTGAAGGAGGGGGAGATGCCCATGATGGAGTGAGCCTCAGACCCACCCACAAAGGGGAAAGGTGGGGATTCTTGGAAAGCGGAGCCCTGTGGAGCCGAGGAGCATACCATTTCCTCAGGTGCCCTGATTGATGGAGACAGATGCGGCCAAATTCCCTTCTCCAGACCGGAGATTCCAGGAGAGTGCTGGTACCAGTGAGTGACATTTTCTTGGAATGTCACCAGGGATTCTAAAGAATTCTCCTCACCCCTGTGTTTCTAAAGTATGAAGGGTAAAGGTCAACACAGAGAAAATTTAAATAATAAAGCACATGGTGAAGGATTTAACTGGGAAGGATCGGCAAAGGATGGATTCCAACCGGATCATCCCAAGCGGAGTTCTTAGCTCTGCCCCTCCCTTGGTGAAATAGGATCCGGTGTGCAGTTGCCAACTGCAGCCGGCACCAAACACATCAGGCTTCACTTTACAGTGGGCCCTTTGCGATACTGTAATCCGTGGTGTACGGGGGAAGCTTTTAGCAGTCCGGGTGCCCATGCTCTCTGGGCTCCTGATCCAGGGCTGTTATTACCTGTAGTTTATTGGTTTGGTTTGAGGGTCACCATGTCCTTCCAGCCCTGGCGTACCCTGAATCTGTGCAGGGGTCTTGTGTGAGTTGTGGGTGTGTAAACTCCTGAACAGCAGGAAGCACCCCAGGGGCACCCATGCAGCCTTCTGACTCAAGGGAAATGTGGTCCATTGCACATGGCACCATGGATACCCTGCAATCAGCCGAGTCTGGCTGTGGGGCTGTTTCTCCAGCCAATGAGGAGAAACCTCACTGGGTCTCTGTGCCGACCACAGATTAAAGAAGACTTGACCTTCTTAGCACCCACCATACTCAGCCACCTAAGCCAAGAGATTTATCACCAGCCCTCAACCCATTAAATGGTAATAAATGAACGTTGTTAACATTTCTTATCAGCCTAAGGATTCTCAAGCCTGGCTGCATTCCTTTTTATACGCTCAGAGAGTGTAGGGAATTCTCTTTGCCTTTTAAACAGATGCTATGGGAATTCTGGTCAAAACGGTGGGCTCTGGAGTCCAGAACTTTGATCCAGTGCTGCTACTAATTAATTAATTCATGACCTGGCAAATGGCTTAATCTAAGTCTCAGTTTCCTTATCTGTAGGAAGAGTCCAAGGATGATTCTAACTTCACAATTCACTCCTTTGAGTGGAATGAATGAGGTAATGCACGTGTATCGCGAAGCTCAGCTTTCGGTTATACATGCTTCCCAAAGGATCACTATTATTATTCCCAATCTTGGCCCTTCCTGCTCCATGGCAAACACTGAGGATGTCATACTATGCAAGTATGAGAAATGCATAAGAATTGAAGGAAAAAAAAATACAGTATTAAGTATTGAGGCTGCAGTTGCTGCAGTTGGGAAGGTATAGCACCAAGGGTGTGAGTTATAAAAAGTTACAAAGTCCTGGGGACTAGTCAAGCCTGGGTGCCATGTAGAAACTGAACCACATGGTTTTGAGATTTTGCAACTGATATGAAAGATTCATTTCAAGAACTTTCCTCTCTATAAATCATCCCCATCAAAACTTTCACCACCACTACCACCCCGGCCGCACAGCCATAAAGCCTTCAGAGGCAAAGGTGTATTAACACACGCCTAAAACCAGCACACTACAGATTCTTAGTTCACTTACCATCTACTCTTAAATCAGGAAAACCCTGTGGAGCTACAGGCCTGTCACTAGAATTACAGAATTAACAAGATCATAACATGCAAAGCCAAAATGCAAAAATAGTTGAATTTCTATATGTCTGTAACAAGTACTTGAAAATGAAAGCTGAAAAACCAGTACCATTTACGATGGCATCGAAGATTTTAAGTACCCGGGAATAAATTTAATGAACGATACATAGGACCTCATCACAGAAACTACACAGCACTTCTGAGAAAAGTGGAAGAGGCTTTAATAAATGAAAGGATAGACCAAGTCCAAGAATCAGAAGACCCAATATTGTTAAGATATCTGTTTCCCTAATACTGGTTGTACAAGTTATTACATACTTTAAAAATTCCAGCAGGTGTCTTTTAAAGAAATAAATGAGCTGATCTAAAGTTCACATGGAAAGACAAGGAATCCCAAACATTGACAGTCAATTGGCTTTACGCAAAAATGCCAAAGTAATTCAATAGAGAAAGGGAAGGTTTCGTTATGAATGCTGCTAGAACTGGACACGCCATATTCATACAATGGGGAATTACTCTGTAATATAAAGAACCACCTCGAGGCTCAGGGGTAGAGCACTTGCCTCACAGTTATGAGGCACTGGGTTCGATCCTCAGCACCACATAAAAATAAATAAAGGTATTGTGCTCATCTACAACAAGAATATGTTAAAAAAGAAAGAACCACCTTGTGAACCATCCAGTAATATAGAAGAATCTCAAGTACAACATGTTGAGCAACAGAAGTGAAACCCAAAAGAATGCATATAGTTTGATTCCATTCATAGGAGGTCCAAATAAAGGCAAAAGTAATTTTTATACATAAACCAGAAAGTGTCGAGAAGAGAGGGCCTGACTGGCGGGGGATTGAGGAAGATTTCTGGTGTGATCCAAAATATTCTATATCTTCTTTTAGGTGGTGGCCACCATGGTACTCATAATTTTCAATGCTTACTATTAACTGTGCAATACGTTAATCAAGTGAGATAAAAATGTTAAAAATATGAAAATGTATTAAGGGAGGAAATGTTGAATTAGTAAACCGCTCCCAGGTTACACCAGTTTTACCTTTCTCTATAATGTCCTCGGATGGTATGAATCATGTGACACAACTTCTTAGGTCACAGCCCTATGAAGAATTCTGTTCATATGAAACTGTTTCAAGTAATGAAAACACAATAGAATGCTTTTTGCTGTCTAGTGGAATAATTTCCTAATGCAAGGAAACCTTCTTTTCCACTTAACCTAAGTGACAAGTGGATTGAATTATTGTACGTTCCTGTTAAATTTCCCAAGGATAAAATCCTTAGAGATGTTGGCCCAGTTCTCTGTGCCTTGCTCCCTTCCCTTCTACCCTGAACAGCCCCCTGATCTTTAGTTACTGATAAAGATGGTTTTGAGAAACACAGTCACATTCAGTGTGTGGGGGGGGAAACCTGAAGTGGATTTTCCCAAGAATAGAAATGGGCAGAGCCTGCCGTGGCACTATCTTCTCAGAGAATTCTCTTTACCATGTTTTATTTTGATACCATTTAAGTTTCTACTTTTGCAGGGAATCCAGATCATCAATGCCAGTCCAGCTGTTTGCTGTCTCATCTGCCACGATGCAGGGGACAGGGCCCCTCTGTCTACTGGCTTCTTTGGTCTCTCCACATACCCTGATGCATGGCGGTGCCCCACTGTGATAATTAGCTGATAGCAGCATGAGTTGAGCCCTTGCCATATGCCAGGCACCCTTTTATGCAAGTTGCTTATACAAATGAGTATCATCTCCACATTTCCCCTCTGCAGGAAGGACGATCGTCATCCCCATTTTACAGATGAGGAAATGCAGGAAAAGAAAGGCTACACAACTTCCATCTAGCAGGACTGGGTTTGTCCCCAGAAGCCTTGTTCTTAGCCACGCTTTCATATGACCTCACTAGTGCTGTAGCAAAAGAGAACAAAGGAAACCAGGAGCAGCTGAGCTGCTGTGTGCCGAGCGTGGAGAGGAGACCGTCTTGGGAATGGCCCTGTGCGCACAGCAGGCAAGAACGTTGGTCAGCACAGAGCCTCTCAAATACCCTCTCACGGTTTCACGGATATGAATGGAGTCGGATTTTATAACACTGCAGCTGTTGAGGAAGCGCCTCTGGATTCATACCTGCTCTCACTTACTGTCTAGGGGAAGGAGACACCTTGCTTTGGAACATAAATAAGAACATCGGCCTCCTTTCCAGGAGCTGAGCTCATTTAGCTTGGAACGAGTGTCTCCAGATATAACCACATTTCCGCCGTGATCCCTGGCACAGATCAGAAGCTCACAGGACTTTATCTTTCCTTTGGAATCCAATTGTCATTAATCTATAGGAAGGCAAAGGGCCATCCAAAATTATCACCCCGTCTCCATGTACTCAAGGATTAAAACACAAGCCAATCATTCCTTATTACTGAAGTGAGGTGAGAAAAGAAGTATGTTTTCCTGGCATCCTCTTAAGCCCAGGATGTGCACAGGTCTAGCTTCTTAGCACTCAGTCACTTAATGAAACAAGCCGATTACTTAACCATTGACTCAATCGACTCGTTATGACACATAAAAGCTTCTCTCCTTTCCTTCCTCCCATCTTTCTTTCCTTCTCTTACCTCTCTGCTCGTCCTAGTCCCAACTCACCGGATTTCTCTAATGACCTGAGATCCACAGTTGACACAGACACTCAAACTTCAAAATAAAAATCGAGCCCAGTTGTGATTTCCAACCTGGAAGTGACGCTCACCCTTGTTGGAGTGTCCCCAGCCGCGTCCAGGGCTGTATCTGAATGCCCGCTGGGGGCTCCTCCTGAACATCTCACTCGACCCCTTGCCCAGGTGCCCCGGCTTCTGAGCCTTGCCTGGACGCGTGGGCTCTCAGTCACTTTCCCGTCTGGCTCTCACCGAGACATCTCTGGGGTCCACCTTTCTTTCCTTTCACGTTGCTCGTCCTTCCTGGTCTTGGAGTTTCTGCTGGTGCCCCGCCTGCTCCTGCCCAGAAGTCCCTCAAAGCGTTCCCCACAATCCCGGGCCTGTGACACACCTAGTTTCAGCTGTCAGCGCTGCCCTTTCAGTACACGCCATTCCGACTCTTGTCTCCTCTAAAAGGGGCCAGTGTCTGTCTTGGGCCCAGCTCACAGAGTCACTGTTCTCTCAACAAAAGGCCAATCAAATACTAAGAGGCTTTTGCTGACGTCTCTCTGGCTCAAATGACCTGTTTTCTTAGGGCCCATTGTTGCTCCTGGTGTTCAAATTCCGAAGAAAGCCCAGCTTGAGAACCGAGTCAGGAAACCTGAAAGTATCCAGAGGAAAAGCAGAAACGTGGCGGGACTCCAGGGGAGAAAAGCATATGGCGGAAGGCCAACGCTGGGGATCAGATTGGAGAGAAAAGAAGGGGAAAGAGGTGGCCAACGTGAGACCTCCACCTGGGGGCAAGGAGAAAGGCACACGGGAAGCGCCTCCTTGGGTCAATAGGAAGACCAGGAAGAACAAGAAGACTCTTAAAGAAAGCTTCCATTCTCTCATAGGGACCCCAGCCTAATGGCCCAAGCCATGGGGGATCATTGTGGTCTCTGTGGTTCAGCTGGAGCCTGGGGTCAGGAGAGGTTAGCTGTCTTGCTCATTGGGAGCTTCCACACTATTCTAGAGCTCGGCAACTCATCCTTGCTCATGGCTCCTCTTGTTTGTAGTCTGTCGTATCCTCCATTCAAGTTTAATCAACAATATAATGGACACTAGGCCCCTTGTGGTGTGAGACTCAGTCCTGGGCACCAGGGCGGTCCAGCATGGTGGACTGGGGAGCAAACCAGTCTCACCCATTAAAGACTCTATCCCCAGACAAGGTCACCCTCTCAGGGGCTGCAGGGTAGGATTTCAACATGAGTTTTTCTGGGGGAAGGGGAGATGATTTAGTTCATGGCAGTAGGAAACCATTTTCTGTTTTTCCACAACCGACATCTCAGACAAACCTGGAGGGTTCTACAAGTCCATGTCCAGGACTCAGGGAAAACAGAACTGCCCAGTGGCCTCCAGCATCCTCACAAGGACCTTGGTGATGCCGCCACATCCTCGATACTTCTCTTGTCGCAGAACAACAGTCACATTCAACACGTGTCACTCAACACGTGTCTCTTACGTCTGTTCTCAGCCTTGGCCGGTGGCACAAGACTGGAGGAAATGGGGCTTTGATTTCCTCCTCCCCAGTCTTTTAGAATGATGAGGTGACCCCATGCAGGGTGCCTATCAACCCCTTCTCCAGTCGTCCCAGGAGAATGGCTCCATTTCTTTGGACATTGGAGGGGTTTTTATTGCCAAGAATGTGGCACTACAACGCAGTACCACAGAGAAAGCCGATAAAGAGAAATGGCCTGGGCATGGCCCGGACACACAGGGAAGGAGGGCTCCCAGGCCAGGGCTCAACCCCTTCGCCTCCTTCCCCTTGGACAGAGGACTTGGTGCCATGGACCTTCCTGGGGCAATGACCTTGGGAAGGTCATCTGTAGAGAGCTGAGCCGTGTTTTCAACGTGGGACTCACTTAGTTGATATTGATAGACACAGGGGCCATCAACAGACTGGGCAGCAACTGTGGCCCATGGGCTGCCACAGGAAGGTGCCTTCAGCCAGTGGGATCTCCTCTCTCAGGGGAAGTGCAGAGGGGGGCTCGGGAAGGGAGCCCTTGGGGTACGTGGCCCAGAGCCCCACAGACCGAGACGATGGGGAAGCAGAAGGAGCCAGACGGAGAAACCCCACCCCGCAGTGGTCCGCAGAGGGGACAGGAACAAGTGTGGGCCAGGCTGCGGGGCAGCCAGAAGCCTGGGCTTGGCTACTGTGGAAATGAGGGCGATCCTCAAACCTATCAAGCCTGGAATTACCATGTGATCCAGCACCTGCGCTTCCAGGTATGCACAGCAAAGACCTGAGACCAAGCTCCACGGGAGCCTCATGACCCAGACAAGGGGTCTGGGACCGCCCCCCTTACACCTGGTCACAACACCACCACTGCGAGGAGACAGTCGCCGTGCCCGTTGGCGTGAGGTTGAGAGAAGTCAAATTCCCACGGTCACGCTGTGGACAAGTGGCAGGCGGTCTTGGGGTCGGTGCTTAGGGCGGACACGGATGTAAAAGAAGAAGTAGACATGCAAGGATTCTAGAGGAATCTGCGGCTGGGGGGCGCATGTGTGGAGAGACCCAGGAGGGTCTGTAGGCTGGACCCCAGTCCAGGGCAGAGCTCAGGTGGGCAGTAGGACGGGTATCCCCTCTCCTCAAGCCCAGTTTGCCCGAGGTGGCACGGACAGAGCCCAGGCCTGGCCGGGGTGCAGTGGGCCTGGTAATGGGCGCCACAGAGAAGGACAAACCAGCATGCAGACGACAAAGCCCCGAGATCCTTTGACAAAAGGGGAAGGAGGAGGCACTGGGGCGCTCTGAGGACAAACTGTGGGGCAAAGACTAAAGCGTGGGAGTGGGAGTGTCCCTGTCACTCTCCCTGCTGTCTGGTTTGGGCTGCTTGGTCCCTCATTAGCACTACGTCCTGAGCACCTGCGTGTCCAGGCACTGTCCTAGGCCCAGGGGGCAGAGCAGGGAACCAAAGAGAAAAAGAAACCCTGCCCTCGAGGACCTTGTCTTCCAGCAGGAGACACTGACAGTACACTATGGAGCAGGGCCAACCAAGTGCTAAGGAGAAGAGGAGGGAAGGCAGGGAGAGAAAGGCCCAGGCTGTCACGCCATAAGAGAGGAGGCCTCCTGAGAAGGTGGCATTTAGATAAAGGCCTGGAGGAGGGTGGGCTTGGCAGGGACAGTGAAGCTTCATGGGGATAGTGTGTGCAAAGGCCCTGTGGTGAGTTTGCCTGGAGCTGCTGAATGTTGGCAAAGGGTGGGGCTGCCAGATAAAGTCCTGGGTGCTCAGTTCAACGGGGGCTTCAGATGTACAGCAAGTAAGTTTTTAGTTTCAGCACGTGGCAAATATTGTGTGCTGAGATCTTTGTTGGCTCTGAGCGAGAACTTAGGGAAAGGCGTAACTTTTTGTGAATGTGACTCAAGTTGAGATAACCCAGCAGTCTGTAGTGACGAGGGCCAGCTGCGTCCCTGCTCTTCTATCCCCGAGAACCGCGGCTGGGACAGCAGCACCTGGGACTGGCCTGGCCTCCTTCCTTTCTCACCTGGTTTCCTATGGGCAGCCTCAGACCTACGCTTCCCAGGTGTGTTCGGAGGAGCACCGGTCCCAAGGAATGGCCTGGAGAGGGGGGTTCTGTGGGCAGGGGAGTGTGTGGAACCGCAAAGGCCCCCCACCCACACAGGCCCTGAGAAGACCCGCAGGAAACCCCTGCCTGTGGTCTGCTGGACCCACCGTCCTGAACACAGCAGGACCCTCGCGGGGGGCGGGGGGCACAGCGGGTGTGCAAGGCACCTCCCGTGACCGTTGACTTTACGTGTCAGCGTGGCTGTGCCGTGGGCCCAGGTATGAGCTCCAACATCATTCTGGGTGTTTCCATGGGGTGATGATGTTTAAGGGGGTGGGCTTTGAAAGTGAAGCAGCTTGTCCTCCGTCTGTGGGTGGGCCGTCCCATCAGCTAAAGGCCTACGGAGGAAAGGAAGGAAACAGGACGGCTCCCGGGATGGAGGGATTCTGCCAGGTGGCCCCCAGCCCTGAACTGTGACGTGGCTCTCCCTGCAGAAAGAGTCACCAACACCCACAGTCACAGGGTCAGTTCCTTAACAGAAATCTCCCCCCACATGCCTCCCCTTGTCTCCCTGGGAGCCCTCCCTCTCCCTACAGCATCACAGAACACCTGGGGGGCCATTGGCCGCTGCTCTGGTCCCACTGGGAGGAAGGACCCTGAGGCGATGCCGGTGGCAGTAAGTCCCCACTCAGGTGGCCTCGTGCAGAACAGAAAGGCTCAAGGACCAGGGTTGGACGCTCGGGTCGTGTGGCTTCAGAAACCAGTCCAGCTCCTGCAGAGGACACAAGGGTCAGACAGAGAGGTGGCTGACACACCATGTCACGTTCACGTGTCCCTTCCCCCCCCCCCGGCAGTGTGGATCTCAGGGTCAGCACCACAGTCCAACAAGGAGGCTCTGGATGGAAGGCACCTGGACTCCCGCACTCTTGCCGTGCTGACCACGGGTGTTTGTTGCTTTGTACCCTGGATGCGAGCAAAGGAAAAGCCAGTGTCTTTTTCTCGTGGAGGTTAGGATCTGCTGTTTCCAATCCTGGTCCTGAATTGGGAAATAGAGAAGTGGCATCACCTCTGAGCAGAGAGAAGGCATTTTTAAAAAAATTCTTGCAGGCCATGTATTTTGATTAGAAAAATGGAATGTATTGCACGAAGGGAGGGAGCAGAGGGTGGGGCGCAGGTGGGGGCCCCAGGGCTCCCCAGGACTCATGGCACCGGGATGGATGCTGAAGAGACGGTCGGGGGCAGGGTGAGCGCGCCGTCAGTGTGGGGAGAAGGGCGGGCACATGTGTGAGTTATAAATCTCAGGGTCGAGAAGGAGAGATTAGGAGTGAGAAATGGGAAGGCTCAGAGGTGTTATCTGAAGAGACACGTCGGATGAGTGAAAAGATTTCACAACAGGATTAGACAGAAAAATGCAACTTTTCCCTTCTAGCCAAAAAAAATAAAATAAAATCAAGAACCCACAGAGGAAATACACTGTGCATGAGCATGGCCACGGGCGGTTTTCAGGAGTGGAACAGACATTTGGGGGGACCCTCGTAAACGGCCTCTGTCTGTCTCAGTGGTCGGGAAGAAGGATGGAGAACAGATGCCGAGAGCCGACGTGGATTCCTCAGAGGAGACGGGAAAGTGAGATGAGAATCACACAGGCCTGGGGCAGAGGTCTCAAATGCCCAGGGTCAAGCCATTCCCTGGGACGACCCATCTGCACCCCAGCGGGTGTAGCCGGGTTCTCCCTCGTCATGGACCCAACGCACCACTTGCCTCAGACACCATTCGACACAAGCTCTGCCTACGCCAAACCAGCTGTCAGGAAAGGTCTTAGGTTTCCAAGAGCAGAAGCTTCTCTCCATGGTACCCTCCACCCCCTGGAAATTCAACCTGGTCATGGCGTCGTGGGGGCCACAGCGAGGGTCTCCTGCCCTCAGCCCTCCACCACCCAAGAGCAATGGCAGACACCTGTCCAAGGCCGTGAGCGAGCTGTCAGCTGCGCCGCAGCATCTGGAAGGACCCCGGGGCCCCGCAAAACGACCAGCCGCTGATCACAACCCTCGGTGTGACCCCAACCCCGCCCTCTGTAAGGAATGGTGG